GGGAAAGGATCACTTTTTCTGTTGCTTTCACAATGGTTTGACATAGTCACCCTTGCTTGTCTGGGTTCTCAATTCTTGCCCTACAGCTTTCTGTTGTTTACTGGCCCTTGTGCTACCTCTTACCTCACAACCAAGAAAAGGACTACTGGACTACTGGACTCCAAAATGATCTTGGAGTTCCAGCCAGTTCTCAATTTCTATCATTTTAACGTTCTTTCATTAAAAGCCTTCAGAAGAAATGCTTAGTAGAAAAGTGTCTCACCAAAGAGACATTTATATAATTGTATTTATAATCTGTTGTTGCATAACAAATTTCCCTAAAACTGAAAAGCTTAAAACAACAAGCACCTATTGCCTCATAGGTTCTATGCAACAGGAGTCTAGGTTTAAATGAGAGACTGTGACTCCCGGCATCACACAGGGCAGTCTGGATGTTGGCCAGAGCTGGAACCAAGTCCAGGCTCAAGTGGGAGAGACCCAGCATTAGCTCATTAATTGTAATATGTTGTATCACTCTGATGCCTATTGGCAAATCTCAGAAGACCCACTTCCACGCACACTCACTTTAGGTAGACCCAGGGCTTGGCTAGCTACTGATAAGAAGCATTAGTTCTTGGCCGCTTGGGTCCCTACAAAGACGCACTCACAATAAGGCATTTACTCCACTAAAATGAAGGCTCAGAGGAAGACAAATGGTCATTGTCTTTTTGTAACTTTACTTCAGAAGTAACATCCCATCACTTTTGACATATTCTATTCATTTGAAGTCTGTCTAGAGGCAATCCATGTACAAAGAAGGATACCAAAATGTGAGGATTATAAAGACCCATACTGGAGCTGCCTAATCAAATGTCCCTGTATTAATTAGATATTTAGCCGCTGTGTCAGAAAACCTCAGTGACTAAAATTAGTCCAAGTCTATTTCTTACTGGCCTAAAACCTTGGAGGTCTCCTCCAAATCACATTTCAGGGTAACTGAAGCCACAGAGGTGCCCCTCTCCAATACTCCAACAAGAAAAAGCACTAGCTGGGAAGACTGCACTTGGCTTCCAGCTCCATCTGATGCACCCCTGGGAATTTCCATAGCATTTACATCAAGGCTACAACCCCTTGGAATACTTCCAGCCAAGGATGGAGTATGATAGAGATTCTAGAGCCGTACTGACTTTCCCAGGACAAGGTCTATGAGGAATCTTTGTCCCAAGACTTCCTATATGGACAATATTTTGCTTTGTATCTAGACATCCCCTCAAAGTTTCAAGCACACATAGGGGAGAATTTAGGTGGTGATTGGATCATGGGGATATGATGCTTATTAGTGGGTTACTCTACTGGCAAGTTTATAGCTAAATGTGATGTTGGCAGACACAGGTAGATCAGAAAAGTTAGTCACTAAGGGCGTGGACTGGAAGGGCTCATCTTCCTCCACACCTCTTCCCTTATTTCTCTCTCCTTTCTGTCTGCTATGTCATGAGCACCTATCCTCTGCCATGCCATCCTGGCTTGGAAACAAGCAACTATGGCCTACATCCATGAGAGAAACCAAACTTCTTCTTTAAATTGCAGGCGCCAGATAGTATATCCCAGTGACAAGGAAAGTGACATACACAGACATGCTGTGCAAACTGCATTGTAGTGTGAAGATGGGCCAATCAAATCTTCCTTCTTCCCCTCTCTCCTTTAATAAGATTCCAAGTAGCACACTGCAAAATTTCTTGCACACTCTGCACTTTCCTCTTAATTCTTTTTTTTTTTTAAAGGCTTCAGATTTATTAGTAAATCTTTCCCCTTGGGTAACCTGAACAGCAAATAGGTACTGTTCTTGAATATTTGTATACAAAATATTTTTTGCATGTATTACCACAATAAATAGAAAACTAATGAAGTTTATCCATTTTTTTTTTTTTTGCCGAACCAGGGATTGAACTCAGACCCTTATGCTTGCCAGGCAAGCACTACTGAGCCATCTCCCCAGCCCCTGTTTATCCATTCTTAATACAAACTCCATCCACACACACACAAAAAAAAAAAAAAAAAAAAAAAAAAAAAATTCTGTAACAATTCTAATAACATTCTTCCTCCAGTAGATTGTAGAGCTGTCGAGGGTCTGGGACCTTTTTGTCCACCACTGCCCACCCTGGTTTTCCTTATGTCCACTGCTCAGCATGTGAGGGTCTCTAAACATCCCTCTCCTATATCTCAACCACAACCTCAAGCTCACTGGCCCTTCCTGCAATGCGCAAATCCAAGTGGCTCACTAAACCCAAGATGATGTGTTCCTGGAAGGGATCTAGTGCCCACCTGGGAGCAAAACAGGCTTTCTGTACCCCTCAGTTTCTGGCACAAGGGACAGAGTCACAAGCGAGCCCCGCCTCCTGCTTTTCTTAAAATCATGTGCATTCTAAGGACTGGGGAGATAGTTTAGGGGTCTAAATACCTGCCTGACAAACACAAAGACCCAGGTTCAATCCCTGGTGCCACAACTGTGCTGGCCCTGCCCTGGGCCTGTTGAGCCAGCCACCAGCTTGATTTTTATTGGCGTATGCCTGTAATACTAGCATGGGGGAGGATGAAACAGAACTGCTATGAGTCTGAGCTGCATAGCAAGATCCCTTTATCTAATACATAAATTTAAAAAATAAAGTCATATGCATTGTAAATGTGAAAAAAGGGCAAATAGCTCCCAGGCCCAGGGATGCTGGGGCCACGAGTGGCACAATTCAGGGCACTCGTGAGGAAGGAGTCCAGGGTGGCAGTGGACAGGCCAGGGCAAGCACCAACACAGCGGTGGCTGCAGGGATTCCCCAGAGGCCCACAGCAGGCTTTAGCCTGCAGAGGGCCAGCTCTGCTCTCTGGCAGTGGTGAGCACATTCATTAAGAAGAGTTTAGTCCATCCATGTCTTTCTTCTCCAACATGGAGGCAGTGTTTCTTCATCTTTCTCAAGTCCTCAGAGTCCAGCGTAAGCACAAGTACACATCCAAGAAATGGGAGGCACAGCTTGTCTCCATGAGCCCTTCAGGTCTGACTTTCACCTCTAAAAAGGAGGCTTTCTTGAGTAAGGGATGTAGCTCAGTAGTAATTTCATAGTAGGTACAAGGTTCTGGGTTCAGTTCCCAGCACCACAAATACAAATAACATCTCCTCACAGATGCGTCTTTAGTTGTCTCTGTACTTCTTGCCAGGGGGCTGCCGAGTGCTGGTGCTTTCACAAGCTGTCTCCCTCCTGGAGTATCTTCCGTTCAACATGCATCTACTGTTTCTTTCAATGCTTGAGGGACTTCTAGATGTTACTTTCTTACTGGGCTCGAGGATCCCCTTGGTTTCTCCTCCATAAAGCCTTTCTCACAATCCTTTAGGTTTTCTCTTCCCCATGGCCATTATACCTAGGTGATTCCCTCTGACCCAGACCAAAAACACCCCTCAAGCACAGGAATCAGAGCCAATTCCTCTTACAAAAACCACCACCATTTGGTGGTGATGGATAATTAACTGGGCTCAGGCCAGCACATACAGCAAGTAACACTTATTAGGGAAGAGATTTCCCCTTGGGGCAAATATCCTTCTTGGGATCCTCGTTCCACGATTTGATAGTTTTGCCGAGTTCTTTTATTACTATGAGTTCAAGGGGTCAATAAAATGGGCTGCTGAGTCCAGAAACGAGGCTCTAACTACCCAGGTTGACCAGACAGTCACACAGTAGGGAAGAATAGGCTTCTTCCTATCTGATGCATTGAAGTTCAGGTGCCAGGGTAGGTTAAGAGAGGAGTCACAGCAGCACTTGGTCTTTCTCTACCAAAGTCTATAATGTTCTCCTTTCCTCCACCTCAAAACACCTTGAAAAAAGAGCCTACAGCAGGAACTGAACATGCATGTTTTATTTGGAAGGGACAAACTCAAGGCATTAGGGGTGAGAAATCAAGTGAGGCAGGAAGATTAGGGGTAGAAAGATGATACCATTCCAAGCTGGGTACAGTCACACACTCGGCATGGAAGAGACCCTGCAGCTGTGTCCACCACAGCTATTTGGGAAATCTCCCTGCAGGATATACTGCTGGGGAGGAACTACGCCTTATATAGCAATTCTTAAAAGAGAGAGAAGGCAGTGTCTGCCTGGCTTGCCCCACTTCACATTTCCCATTAGTCAAATTTTACCCCATGAGTACTAATTCCCTGGCACTTCCATGTTTCTGTAGCTACACAGGATGCTGGATCCCACTCTGTGGTGGGCCATTCCACCCAAGTCTGGAAGGAAGAGATAAAAGCTGGACACGTAGGTGGTGAGTTCCAAGAAAACTGATGCAGTATATGACATATCCAATATAACCTAGGATGGTTTTTCTTATTTTCCAGGGGGTAAACTAAGGCATGATGATGAAAGATACTTCCCAAGGTTACAAGATTAGTGACAATGTTAAGTTCAAGAACTAAACAGTCTTGCCGGGGAGTTGGCTCAGTGGTATAAGTCCCTGCCTGGCAAGCACAAGGTCCTGAGTTCAATCCCCAGTGTCAGGGGAAAAAAAAAAAAAATCCAGAAGAACTATAAACAGTCTCATGTCAGAATCCAGAAGACAAAGATTAAAAAACATGAATTTTATGAAGCAGGGAGAGTAATTAAAGGGTTTCAAGCTGGGGAACAACATGAGATAGGGAGCTTTTTAATAAACCTATCTCTATTGTAATCTCTAGCCTCCCATTTGGCTAACAGGCACAAGTAGGTGGCCCCAGAGAGGGGAAGGCATCCAAAACATGCTTGAGAGTTTTGAGGGCTCCCTAA